AAAAAAAAAAAAAAAAAAACAGGCCAGGCACAGTGGCTCACACCTGTAATCCTAGCACTTTGGAAAGCTGAGGCAGGTGGATCACTTGAGGTCAGGAGTTCAAGACCAGCCTGGCCAACATGGTGAAACCCCGTCTCTACTAAAAATGCGAAAATTAGCCAGGTGTGGTCACACATGCCTGTAAGCCCAGCTACACAGGAGGCTGAAGCAGGAGAACGATCTGAACCCAGGAGGAGGAGGTTGCAGTGAACTGAGATCATGTCATTGCACTCCAGCCTGGGCAACAGAGCGAGACTCCCTCTCAAAATAAACAAACAAAAACAATAGAACTTGAGGATATTGGTAACAAAAAACAATGAAAACAAAACAAAACACATACATCTGAGTGGAAGAAAAAACATTTGGGCAATAGGGTACACCAGACAAAACTCTCTCAAGAGCTGAGCACCTCCATCTCTGTGTCCTTGAGGGCGAGATCGCAGTGAGGGCTCCCGTGGTACAGAGGTGGTTCTGCTGCTATCTCACCCCTTCCTTCCTAGGGCCTGCTGGCCTCCCAGCCCTGAAAGTACCAACCCTGAGGCACAAATCCAGAACCCACGGGGGTCTGTAAGATGTATCCATTCATGTTCCCAGTATCTAGCTTAGGTGTTGACACTCAGTGAGTTATTGGGGAGCATCAGCAGTCATGGAGAGAGAGCCCTGGAGAGCACTCATCTGACACTACCAGAGAAGCATACCCAGAGCCTCAGAAGGGCGCTCCCCAAAGAGTGTCCCCTCCCTCTTCCCAGTAATGGCATCAGCCAGACTGGGACCAGTAGGATGGATGGTCCCTTCTCTAGGTCTCCTGTGCCTGGTCCAAGAACAGGGCCCAGAGCAGACCTCAGGTACAAAAACTGAGGAACAGGGCCCCCGATCTCCACTCTGGGTGGGAACGGGAAAGTGGATTTCCCTACCGTTCTATTTTGCTCTAAGACTTGGATAGAGTCCCAGGGCCTATAGCCTGCTACCTTGGATGCAAGCCATAAAGTTGCACCCCTTGCCCCAGCCTCACTCACCTAAAGGCCTTGTAGATGGGTCGGTACCAACAAAGGAAGGCACAGGGAGTGAAGATCAGAAACCACAGGATCGAGAGGCCAAAGTCCACTCCCTTGGAGCTATTGCTTGAGAACCAGGCCAGGCAGGCAAGCAGGTTCAGAAACAGAGTCACTGAATGCACTGGGGAAGGGGACAGGACAGAGTTATGACTTGTGCCACAGTCGCTGAAGGGCTCCACTGTGGCGGCCACTCCCTTGGAGAGCTGAGGTTCATGCTGCAAATGCAGCTGCAGAGACAGAGGAGCCCGCTGTGTACCCAGGCGGGGACAGCTCCCAAATCCTGGTTTTATGGGACTTCAAAACCAGGGATCAGAGTAGGTTTCTGAGAGGTGATGGGCAGCTCGGGTATCTGAGGGGAGGGAGTGGAAGGAGGATGCAGAGCCTGGTCCTTGGGGAAGGAAGTCTTTCTCTCAGCCATGCTTTTCCCTGACCCTGGATGGCCCCCGATGGAGCTGCAGGGAGAGTCTTCTTCCTCACCTGCCACAGTGCCCAGGCCTGTGGGCAGGGGAGGCCCTCACCTAAGGAGGGCTTTTTGGTGCAGTGAGCTCTGAAGGAACTTGGAAGCCTCTAGTTAGTCCCACCCTGGCATCTGTGGTCTGGACTGCCCCTTTCAAGGAGGTTTCCAGACAGGGAGCAGCCTTTGGGCAGAGGCATCTCCCCAACCGAGCCCAGGCACGGAGGAAGGCTGGAGTCTGCTGAAAGCCAGTAGACCAGGGAGGAGCAGCCAGGCCAAAGATGGGGCTCTCAAGTCATACCCAATTCACCCTTGCGCTTGGAGGGCGGGAGTGGGACTCACACATCCACAGATAGTACAGCATCTTGCATATCCGCTGGTAGTCGGCAGGGATCTCTGTGGAGAAATCCTGATAGAAGCAGGGCTTCACAGGGCACCACGAGGGCAGGGGTGGCCAGTTGTTCTCTCTCACTGTGTGGGAGAAAAGCAATGACGGGGTGAGGGCCCAGCCTCAGAAGGGGCATCGAGGTATGTGCACGCCAGCACAGCATATGGGTCAAACCCGGGTTCCCAGGGGGGCTCCAGCAAGCAGGGCTTGGAGTCTGCATGGAGCATGGAGTGGGACAGAACAGGATAACAGAACCCAAAGAGACACCAGCAAGCTCACACTGAGACAATGGGCCCCAAATACACTGGGAAATACAGAGAGCTAAATGGCCTAAATAATAATAATTATTATTATTTTTATATTTTTTTAAGACGGGTTTTCACCATGTTGGTCAGTCTTGAACTCCTGACCTCAGGTGATCTGCCCGCCTTGGCCTCCAAAGTGCTTGGATTACAGGTGTGAGCCACCACGCCCGGCCCTAAATGATTATTTTTATTACCAAGGAGCCTGAAAGTGTGATACCTCAGTTCATCACCATTAGCAAGGAATTGTGAGACCGATGCCCCTCTATTATCAAAGAATCAAGGAATTTTAGAGCTAGGAAGGAGTGCAGAAATAACTGACAGCCACGACAACCATACTGTAGTTCTTCTGACTTGCAACTTACTGCTCTCCCCAGGACCAGCATCCTGCCATGAGAAGAGCCCCACAAAGCTCTGCGGCAGCCCAGGAAGAAGGCAGCTCAGGGTGAATGCTGGCGGCCCTCCGAACAGGGCTCAGGACGCTCTCTGCGCCAGGCAGGCAGTCCCAGGCCCCGGCAGCCTCCCTTACCGTGCAAGTTGGCCACGGTGTTCTGCAGCTCTCGCTCCTTGCGTTCTAGCTCCGCAGCTTTCTTGTCCAGTTCTTCCTGCTGCCGGAGCAGGCCTGCCTGGGCTGCAGACACCACGGCCTGGAGAGAACAGGGGAGGTACAGGAACAGCCAGACACAAGAAACAAACAGTGTCAGCCTGGGTGGGCAGGCAGAGAGGCCTTGCCCCGGGTAGGGACAGCCAGCAGGGAGTCCCAGAAGCAGTCCCCGCCCCACAGCGTCTTAGGTACCAGAGACCCCCACAGAGAGGCCAACCTGTCTTCCGCTGCCCCGCCTTCCTGGCCCCTCGGCCACGGCTAGGCTCCCCTCTCCCTTCATCCCTAAGCCTGAGCTGGGAAAATTATCCCCAGTGGCTTCTCTGCTTCTCCCTGATATCAGAGTCGAGGCAGAGCTCAGCGATTGTGACCTCTGGGAAAAAGACCTCACGAGAAACTAAACTGCAACAAGAAACCCACAGACCCAAGTCTCATTTGAAGAGCTGGGTGTGTGAGAGAGAAGGAAAACGGTGCAGGCCTGCTAGCCGTGAGTGGAAAGGGGAGACATGTGAGGGCACATGGTGTGTACCTAAGCTTCAGGATCTGTGCAAGCACCCTGCCCTCTGGCCTGCCCCCGGAAGCTGCCCTCTGAGGTCCCCCTAAACTGAGACTGGTGACGCCCCAGGACAGCCCCTTAGGTGTGGTCCTGCCTTGCCTAGCTTAGTGGCAGGCAGAGTCCGTGCTTATCTCCTCTCCAGGCAGAGCAGAGCCTCTGAGTGACGGTAAGGGACTGACTGTACATGACGCTGAACAGACGTGGCCCCGGGGCCCTATGCCTGCTGGCGGCTGCTGCATTTGGGTCAGATTCCTCCTGAAGGATGAGACCACAGTCCTTTTTAGGGAGAGATCTCAAACTGGGCATCTCCCAGGATGACAAACCAGGCGCACGTGTACACAAACACACATCGACCTCTCCAGAAGCTCTCCAAAGACCTAAGGCTGCCTCTGGGAGGTGAGTTTCAGGTACTGGGGGCAGAAGCAGGAGCAGAACCTACCCCCTGTGCCATGCTGGGGGTCTTAACCTCCCCCAAGTCTGTGACTCAGTCGAGAAGGACTCAGCTCCCTACGGCCCACCACCCAGCTGCACAGAAAGGCACCCTGCACCTAAGGCCTGCCTCACTTCCACAGGGCTCTGGGGCCTGGGAGGGACACAGGGCAGGCTCCAGGCACCCTGCCCTTCCTCCTGCTCATCCACAACTAGGCCTGCCTTCGGAAGGCTTTGCATGTAGCTGTCTCTGAGCATACTATCTCCTCCTAGGAGTATCTGCCTGTCTGAGAGCTTGCCCGCTGCCAGGAATCGGGCAGGCAGGACCTTGCTGGCCTGTCTGAGCAGGGGCTGCAGCACACGACTTCACCGTGGGTCACACTCATGGGGGCAGCGAGGCAGCGCAGTGGAGCGCCAGGCACAAAGCAGGCAAGATTCACAGCATTTAGTGAAGGGACAAAGGAAGACAGGAAGGAAGGTGAGAATTTGAAGTTAAAAAAAAAAGAGATTCTGGGCCCCAAGGAAGAGGGAACAAGCCAAAGGCCGAGGAGGACCTGGAGGAGCACAACAGGGACAAATGCTCTCTCTGGAGGCAGCAAGGAGCCCGTCCGGTGAGCAGAGCTTATTTCTCTGTGGTGGTGGTGGGTGGGATGGGGGAGTGAGGATGATGATTGGCAGAGCAGCCCCTCTACTTGTAGGCGACCAGATCCAAAGAAGTTAGTAAGAGGGCCCTTGGGGGGCCGAGGCTGGAGGCTGGCAGCTTGCCCCCTGCCTCAAGTCTCAGCTACTGGTCTGGGTATTTCCCTCACGGGAGGGAAAAGGTAAAGGGTTCTTTGTCAGCAGTACCTGGGGGGTCGGCTGGGTGGGTTCCACGGAGGGCTGGAGAACCGCTGGCTGCGAAGACCCAGGGAGTTGTGTGACAGGAACTGTTGTCGCTGCATTTGTCTACATGGAACAGATCAAAGGACGGAAGTGAGTGGGACTCCACTAGTTGGTGACTGAGGGGCAAACCCACAGTAGGATGAGTGATGTGCCTGCCTGCGAGAGGACTCCCTCGAGGCCTGCACTGGGCCTTCCCCTGTGGCTTCCTAGCCAGCACGCCTCAGGTTCAGGCCATCTGATCCCCAACCCAGCACCCCTGGTCTTGCTGGGTCCAGTGCCCTCAGGCACTGCCCTGACCTCCGTGGGGAGGGGCCCGGTCATGGATCCCAAGGGGAGAACTTCACAGAGTTCCTGGTGGCTTTCCCATCCTTACCCCCCCTCCCTGGTTCATGTTAGGACTGTCCCTTTGAGGACTGCTGCTTCTCAGAGCTCCTTCTGTCCTTGCCAAGGCTCCCTGCCCCAAAGGCCCCAGCACCACCCTGGAGGGCCACGGGACTCAGAAAGAAGGCATGCTCACCAACCTCTGAGAATGGGTTGAATTCCGCCAGGCCGCCCTGCGGGGCATTGGTCAGCTGGGTCACAGAGGGATCCTGAGAAGGTGAGAAAGAGCCCTCAGACGAGGAAGAGAAAACCCTGGCCAGGGACCACAGGCGAGCTGGTGACGCCTGGCTGAAGTGGGGCTGCTGATCATCCTCCCAGGACCCTGAAAAGCCTCTCTGTTTTTTTCTTTTTTTTTTTTTTTTTTGAGATGGAGTCTCGCTTTGTTGCCCAGGCTGGAGTGCAGTGGTGTGGTCTCGGCTCACTGCAACCTCTGCCTCCAAGGTTCAAGCGATTCTTCCTGCCTCAGCCTCCCAAGTACCTGGGATTACAGGCGCCCGCCACCATGCCCAGCTAATTTTTTGTATTTTTAGTGGAGACAGGGTTTTGCCATGTTGGCCCGGCTGGTCTCCAACTCCTGACCTGATCCACCTGCCTCAGCCTCCCAGAGTGCTGGGATTACAAGCCTGAGCCACCGCACCTGGCCGAGAAGCCTCTCTGGAGGGGTCCTGGGCTTACCCCTGTCACACCACAGCCGCAGTCCCTTCTTCCTTCCTGGAAAAGGTTCAGCCCAGAAGAGACCCAGAGCAAGCTTCACCCTGAGGCCTGAGAGTACACACCACACAAGCCCCTGTTGGTACCCTGCGCAGACTCAAAATGGTTCACAGTAGTTACCTCTAGGGAGTGGTTTTTTGTTTTTTGGCTGGATGGAGTGCTGAGGGGGCAGAAACTTTCTCTTGACTTTATAAACTTTCTGTACTATTTTACTTATAATTCTTCTTATTTTTTTTTTTTTTTTTTTGAGACGGAGTTTCACTCTTGTTACCCAGGCTGGAGTGCAATGGCGCGATCTCGGCTCACCACAACCTCCGCCTCCTGGGTTCAGGCAATTCTCCTGCCTCAGCCTCCTGAGTAGCTGGGATTACAGGCACGCGCCACCATGCCCAGCTAATTTTTTTGTAGTTTTTAGTAGAGACGGGGTTTCACCATGTTGACCAGGATGGTCTCGATCTCTTGACCTCGTGATCCACCCACCTCGGCCTCCCAAAGTGCTGGGATTACAGGCTTGAGCCACCGCGCCCGGCCTAATTCTTCTTATTTTTTAAAAGATAATCTAAGGTGGCCAGGAGTGGTGGCTCATGCCTGTAATCCCAGCACTTTGGGAGGCCGAGGCAGGCGGATCACCTGAGGTCGGGTGTTCAAGACCAGCCTGACCAACATGGAAAAACCCCGTCTCTACTAAAAATACAAAATTAGCGGGGCATGGTGAGGCATGCCTGTAATCCCAGCTACTCAGGAGGCTGAGGCAGGAGATCGCTTGAACCCAGGAGTCGGAGGTAGCAGCGAGCCGAGATTGTGTCATTGCACTCCAGCCTGGGCAACAAGAGCAAAACTCTATATCAAAAAAAAAATATATATATATATAATCTAAGGTTCTATAACAAAAACATGCTGCTGGCTGCCAGTACTGATTTTATTAAATCAGGCACACTTGCTGAGAGCAGAGATCTGATGGGCTCAGATGAAAATCCAAGAAAATGTTTTGGGGCTTGGGGGTTTTTAAAGTCTTTTCATAAAATCCAAGAATGTCCTCAAAACACAGCCTTGTCTCCCTTTACCATCTCATCTCTGCATGGGGGCTGCCATCCTCTTTTCTGCGCCCTTGCTGGCCTGGGGCAGTTGACTTCACCCTGCCCCGCCCCCAGCAGATCCTCTGCACCCTCCCCTTCCTGCTAACAGAGGCAGGGCTCAGGTCCAGCTTCACAGCCATGCCTGGGCTCCGTGAGGAACAGCCCTGAGGGTGGCCAAATTCAAGGATCGTCCTGCCTGTGGAGACACTGCTCAGGTTCCACACCTGACCCCATACCCTCAATTATTAAGCCAGATGCTCTCATGCTTCAGGCCCAGCATCACCTCCACCGGAAGCCTCTGCAGAGCTAGTTCTTTTTTTTTTTTTTTTTTTTTTTTTAAGATGGAGTCTCACTTTGTGGCACAGGCTGGAGCTCAGTGACACAATCTCAGCTCACTACAACCTCTGCCTTCTGGGCTTCAGCTCTTCTCGTGCCTCAGCCTCCCAAGTAGGTGGGATTACAGGCACTTGCCACTATGCCCACCAGCTAATTTTTGTATTTTTAGTAGAGACGAGGTTTCACAGGCCAGGTGGGGTGGCTCACACCTATAATCCCAGCACTTTGGGAAGCCGGGGTGGGCAGATCATAAGGTCAGGAGTTCGAGAACAGCCTGGCCAATACAGTGAAATCCTGTCTCTACTGAAAACACAAAAATAAGCCAGGCATGGTGGCGGGAGCCTGTAGTCCCAGCTCCTTGGGAGGCTGAGGCAGAAGAATCGCTTGAACCCTGAAGGCATAGGTTACAGTGAGCCAAGATCACGCCACTGCATTCCAGCCTGGGTGACAGAGCAAGACTCTGTCTCAAAAAAAAAAAAAAGAGAGAGACGGGGTTTCACCATGTTAGGCAAGCTGGTCTCGAACCCCTGACCTCAGGTGATCCGCCCACCTCGGAATCCCAAAGTGCTGGGATTACAGATGTGAGCCACCGCACCCGGCCTCCAGTTCTTTTTCTTTTTTCTTTTTTCGAGACAGGGTCTCACTCTATTGCCCAGGCTGGAGTGCAGTGGTACAATCATAGCTCACAGTAGCCTCAAACTCCTGGGCTCAAGCAGTCCTCCCACCTCAGCCTCCTGAGTAGCTGGGATTGCATACATCAGCCACCAGGCCTCACTCATTTTTAAAGTTTTTTTTGTAGAGATGGGGTCTTGCTTTGTTGCCCAGGCTGGTTTTGCAGTCCTAGGCTCAAGCGATCCTCCCACCTTGGGCTCCCAAAGCGCTAAGATTATAAATGTGAGATACCTCGCCCTGTCCAGATCCAATTCTTAAATATGATGCTAATATTAGATGCACTCAAAGAGTGACCCCCTTAAGTTTACAGATGTAGAAAGTGATATTCACCATGATCCTAGGACTCAAAATGAGAGCTCTCCCCTTACTCTGAGCAATTATAGAGCTGCAAGTCAGCACTGAATATGTTCTCTGGTTTTATCACAGATACTACCTCTTATCTTCCCACATGAGCCACAGTTCCTAGTGGGTATGACTGCCTGGCCAGCCCCAGGCATACAGCCAGGACTCACTCTGTGCCTGGCCGGGTCTCACCCTACAGCCTCCACCCCCTTCCAACCTGCTCTGTGACAGAGAATGCGGTTATGTCTTTCCTGCTGAACACCACCTCTGCTCTGATGGCTCCTGCAACTTGGACAAAGTGACAGGGTGACGTTCAGGAGGCTCTGTGTGGCTGAGGAATGGGCCCTGAGGTTATTTCATACGTGAATAGCCAGTGGTTTACTCCCAGAATGATCTGGCTTCCTGCGAGGAAGATTTGGGGCTTGGTATCGGTTCCCCTTTCAGACGCAGCAGACACCTAGCCACCGCTGAAGTCACCGCTGAAGTCACCGAAATCGGATCTACCATCCACAGAACTGGCTCCTTGAGTCTGAGTCACCACAGGACAGAGGAAGAGGGGCCGCTCTGGTGCAGTTTCAGGCGCTGGTATATAGACATCTGGCCAGGTGCACATGTTTACTAGGTAACCTCCAGGCCCACAAAGAGATGCCATTTCCTTTACGAATGGCAGACAGAAGGGGACTGCAGATGGGGATGTTAGGGTGACTGCCCTGTCCACTCTGACCCCTCCCCTTTTCCTACAATCTTATTATTATTATTTTTTTAGAGACAGGGTCGCGCTATGTTGCCCAGGCTGGAGTGCAGTGGCTATTCACAGTAGGTGTGATCCCACTACTGATCAGCACGGGAGTTTTGACCTGCTCCGTTTCTGACCTGGGCCAGTTCACCCCTCCTTAGGCAACCTGGTGGTCCCCCGCTCCTGGAGGTCACCGTATTGATGCCAAACTTAGTGCGGACACCCGATCGGCATGGTGCGCTACAGCCCAGGACTCCTGGGCTCAAGCGATCCTCCCACCTCAGCCTCCTGAGTAGCTGGGACTACAGGCATGCGCCACCGCGCCCGGCTCCTACAATCTTAAAGACACGGCCGTGGACCCCTCACTGGGCTCCTCATAAACAAATCCGATCTCCACTGGTAAGCTAGAAACTCTCTGCCACCTTGTGCATCTGTGTCTAGTTCATACTTTCGTTCCCTGGTGCTTGGTGACGAGCCTGCGGTAGCACAGCGGCTCAGGGAAGGTTTGTGAGGACATGTGGCACGCTGTAGGGCCTTCCACTTCTGTAGGAAGCACTGCCCAAGAGCCAGGGCATAGCCAACAGGGGCACCTGCACCACAGCAACAGCCCAAGGACCTGGAAGCACGCTGCCTAGGAAGAACCACCCTAAAATGCTGAGACAAGCGGATATTTTCCATCTAAGAAAACCTAGGCGCTTGCTCAGAGATGTGTGTGGCTTTAAGACAAGCTGAGTCCTGGCAAGAAAGGGAGGGAGGAGGAGAGACTGGGGAAGGAAGCTGACATTTACTTAGTGTCTCCTGTGTGCCAGACTCACCACACAATGATGCTACTGTGAAATTCTAGTCACCCCAGAACTGGCCACTGTGTCAAGTTGTCAAAAAGAGGGTTTTGCTGGCCTTCCTTGGCCTGGTTCTTCAAGACACTTATGACCCCCTACTCCAAGGAATCCACTATTTATGATGACTTTCCTTCTCTCCTGGTACCTAGGAGGGTACTCATTATACGCCATACATGAGAGAACTGAGAGAGTCATTCCAATCAGCGTCTCTGTTCTGTGGCTCAGCTCCGGACCCTGGCTGAGAAAAGCTACAATACAGCTCCTCATTTAACCCTCACCACAGTCTTATGAGGGTTTTAAAAAAATTATCTATTTGTATTTGCATTTGTACTTTGCAGCTAAAAAAGCTCGAGCTCAGAAAAGGGAAGTAGCCTGTCGAAGATCTCAGGGGTAGTGGCTCAGCCGGCTTCTGAATCCAAGTCCGTCTCCAGAGGCACAAGACGGTAAAGCCGAGAGGGCAAAGCTTCCTGAAGCCTGGTACGGAGCCTGACAAATCG